ATCATCATCATCATCATCATCATCATCATCATCATCATCATCATCATTTGCTGTGCACGAATTTAGGGCCGCCCAGCTGGGGTTCTAGCTCACGGCGGGGCACATGAAAAGCGCTGAACCGCCACGTTTCCGAGCTGAACCTCTTTTGGGCGAAGGTCCCCGGGAGCATCAGAACATCCCGTCCCGCGCGTAGCGAAGCGATTGTTTTAAACGCCGGGAGGTGAGATATACCCCTGACCAATGCAAGAAACCGATAATGTATACAGAGATCGAGAGAGCATATCCAATCTCTCAATCAGAGGTCCCAATCTAATGTATAGCCATGCAGGGAGGTCTTTAGAAAGCTAGGCAACTGGATAGTACTTAGGGTATAACGGTATACTGTACACAGAAATGATGGCCGGCATGAACAAAGGCGGAAAAATAGAAAAATGGAGGGGCGTTGTTCTCAGCATTTAGGCTTTGTGAAGGTTGGATTTGAATTTGCAGCACTTGGCATGATGAAAGCAAGGCATTCCGGTGACTTACTTATTCTCAAATGACACAAATTTGCAAATGACAAAATTTGTGTGTACAGTTTGCTTGGATGGCCATGCATTCTTGCCGGAGCTGGAAAGCCCTGCTTGGAGTCAGTTTATGCCCCCACGAATGGATCGGATACGGAGCAGCAGTTTGGTACTTGTGTATACTGCAAACACGGGTTTCAATTTCAAGGAAGCAGACTGTTAACAACCAATTTAGGCCGGCCGGTGTGTTTGTAACTTTCGGAATGTCCTCGTGTTGGTTTCGTTCAGTTTAATTGATCCAGATAGAAACCAATCGATCTCGATCTCGATCGCATTGGACCCCCGGCGTGATCTGCATGGCGGGTGTGTGGTGAACGCTGCATAAGATCAGATCATCCGCTGCGCAGTGTGAGTGTGTGCGATCGCATGGAAAAGCCCAAAAGCACCGGGCCGCACGGGAGTGTCATATCAATACTCTTCAGACTCTTCAGCAAGTATTTGTCAGATGTGGATCATGTCCAGGTTGTTGTTGAGGGTACTTTAGGAATATATTTTGTCAAGGTCCAAGCCCCACTGTGTGGTGAAATGCGGTTTGCATGGTGGAGCATGATGCGGCATGGAGTGGCTTTTAGTCATTCTTTAAAAATCCAATCAGGCTCAGATCCCTGACAAGCAGCCCTGCTTTTGGTCTTCTTGTACAAAAAGGCCAACTGAACGAAGAGGTGGATGGGATAAATTTTGGATCCGCTAGGCCACCCGTCCAAAATGAATTTGCTTGCTTCTCACCGTAAGGTTGGTAGGTCGTCCAGCCTATGAACCTGGGAACCCGCGAGTCCAGTGTGTCCAGTGCATCAGCTAACCAGGGTTTCTGGCGCATAAGCTTGTTTGTAGTGCACAACTGCTTTAGCACGTGTGTACCTCAAGAATGATCGTGTTCTCGTTCATATCATAGTTTTACTAAATACGCTATTACTGTATATCCTTTCTTGATTGCCTGATGCATCGCCGCTCGGACCAAAGAAAAAGGCCGCCCAGAAACCATAGCAGTGAAAACACAACTCGCCGGTAAGGGAAACGACGGTTTTCCAGCAGAAGAGCACCCCAGACATTTCCATGAGATGGGCTTTTGAGAGTCAGCGGCTCTTCTATTTAGTCTATTGCCAAATAGTTGAGGCTTAAGAGTTACTGAGCATCGATAAGCGCAGTAAAATTGAGGTCCAAGACAAGGGCTTCAAGAGCTATTGTATACATGCCCAGACGCTTCGAACAGTTGCAGAGGTCTACAATATGTGTGGCAGCTTCCAACAATGTATCCACCCCATTCCCAAGTCTTTGCGTGCTAGAAAAAGCGAAGTCCAACTGTTCATTTGGCAGCACTGTTGTCCCGGTTCTCCGCATGGCCCGGTGGTTGAATAGTCGCCATGGCCGCAGTTGCCTCCCCCCGCCGTTCTCCACGGCGGTCGCGGTCTGGTGAACCACAGGGGTCGTCACGCCAAGGCCAATCACCAAAGAGGTCGCGCTCTGCTGAGAAAGGCCAATCTCCCAAGCGATCACGATCAAACAGGAAGGAACGATCGCCCAAACGATCGCGATCAAATAGGAAGGAACGATCGCCCAAACGATCGCGATCAAATAGGAAGGAA